CCTTAGGTCTCCTCCAACCTGTCCTAAACTAAAATTTAATTTGAAATAGTTAAATATAGTATTTATATAGGAAATAGAGGATGTAATGTCATATTGGATACCTTGTTTAACTAAAGTTAAACTTATGTAACACAAATATAGTTTTGAAATTTTTAAAATAGAACTTAAGTTCTAATTTTCTTAAAAATAAAGTTTCAACTATGACATTATTTAATAAAAAATAAAAAATAAAAAAAAATATTAAGATTAATATTAGTTTTAATATTAAGATTAATATTCAATTCAATATTAGAATCAATATTAGTTTTAATATTAAAATGAATATTAGAATTAATATTTAGTTTTAATATTAGAATTAATATTAGTTTTAATATTAAAATAAATATTAGAATCAATATTTTAATTTTAGTTTTAATATAAGATTAATATTAAGACTAATATTAGTTTAATATTAGTTTTAATATTGAGATTATTATTAGTTTGAGTAATTAATTATATAATATATTTAGTATAAAGTTGTATTAAAAAAATAAATTTAAAGTCTTAATAAAAAAAGTAATTATTTAAAAAAAATTCATTAGCAGTTATTTATTAGTGTTAGTAAAAAAAAAAAAAAAAAACTTTTAAAAAATTAGTTTATTACAATATTAATATTAATTAATAAAAGGTTTTATAATTTTAGTACTATATAATAGATCTAAAGTTCAAATACTACTATTAACAAATTTGAATAATTATCTAAACCTGTATTTAGCTTATAATAACTCTGTTTATTTCTAGACTATAACTATATAAATCAAATTATACTAATATCAATATGATATTAAAAGTGTAATACAATGTTATATAAATAAATCTTAATAGAATCTATAAGTAAAGAAACTGTATAGTAGAAATTCTAAATGGTAAAATAATATGATCTTTCTACAGATCTGCTAGTTAATATCTAATCTAGAAAGAAAACTCTATCTTAGAAAATTTTAAGATCATTATACAAAAGTAACTAGTTGATTAGCTAGATTTAACTAAGTTGACTGATTTGTGAAAGACTACAGCTAGAACCTAAGATTGTATAAATATTACAAGTGTTAAAACCCTAAGTATGTTTGTGAAATAAGCACAAACCACTTTAGAGTAAAAATACCAATTGCGACCTTATTAAAATGCAAAATGTAATATTGATAAGTATTTAATTAAGCATTTTAATAAATAGTATTACAACGTCTGCGTGATGTTTATCTAGTATGCTTAGTTTGCATTAAACTAATTTTTAATATTACATGAATTTCTAAAGTGTAAGAGAATATTTAAAAGATTAGAAGCAGTAATTGTTATAATTTTGAGTGAAGTTAGTGAATTATTAATAATATTAATGAGTGATTGATTAATATTAGGATTATTTTTCTTACAAAGAAGAATGTGTATAGTATTTCAGTATTTAAACATTGTATACAGTTTAGTGTAGTATATAGATAGGGATAGTAAATATTAAGATTTTGTATAGTAGATAAGTTATTTGTTAAGATTTTAATATGAAAGGAATATTTTTGAAAATTGTTTTTTAAAGAATTTAAGATTTTAAATATTAGAGCCTATTTGATATCAATAATACTATCAAAGAATTTGAGTGTAGCCCAAGTAGAAAGTTCTTGTATTGTAATAGTATTTTTGATAAAGGTTCAAATTTTCATTGGTATAAAGAAGTTATTCTAGTTAAAATATATAGGATAGTTAAAGAGAAGGAGTGAAAATTCGATTATTGGTTTAGTAGTATCTTATATTGCTAATAAATCAGCTTGATTATAAAGAGAAATATTAGAATGAAATTTGACTTTGATAAGTTTGAGTGAAATATTTTTGTTTTCTTTGAGAGAACTAATAATTTGTAAAATATCCTAGTTTTTGTTTTGAATAAGTTTGTGAGAGAAGAAGGATATTAGGTTTTTGATTGCTGTAATATTATCTAAGTATAGAGTAATCATAGAATTATTTGGTATAGTAAGAAGTAGAGTAATAATTAAAGCTAGTTCAATGTGAGCAGTATCAGAAAAAAGAAGAATAGCTGCATTAAATTTGATTGAATTACTGTTTTTGCAAATTCAATCTATGCTAGCTTTAATATCTGGTGTTTATAAATTTTTATATTATAACATATTTGCAAAATTTAGCTAATTTTTGGTCACCAAATTTAAAATTTTATTATCAAATTTATTAGTGATTGATTAAAATTAAACTCTGGACAAATTTTTTGACTTCTCAAATTTATAATAATAATGCGTCTAACCTATTTTTCTACTATTACAACCTATTTTAAGTTCTGCAATATGATAGTTGAAAATTACTAAAAAAAATAATTTATAGTAATACTAATAATAGTATTTTATGTTCCTTATATGATAATAAAAAATTTAAAAGTCATTACAGTCTCAAGATACATTATCAAAGTATGCATCGTAGCAAAAAGATTATGAATATTTCTTCAAATAAATTTTTTTTATGCTCACTTTGCCCAAATATGATGTTTAAGAAAAGGAGTAGATGGTGCTATAATGAAACATTAAAACACTCTAATTATAATATACTATCTGAAAATCTTTTTACTCTTTCAGATATACATATTAATGAAGTTAAAAATACATTAGTCTATTTTATTCAATCACATCTTAAACTTCATACAAAATATGCTAAGCTACAAACAATTTCAGTACTACTTACTGAATCAGCATTTGTTTCAATTTTTCAAAATAATATTAATTGCTATTTAATCTGTTAACAAAAATATATATGTAGATTTGGTAGCTATGATGCATATAATACTCTTGCAAATATTTTTAATCAAGAAATCTGGGGAAGGTGAACTTATGTATATGGACAAAGATCTGAAGTTATGCTAGTATTTGAATCAACTAGTTTATTGGAATCAAACAATAAATTATATAATTCTTGTCAATTAAATTTCAAAAAACCTAAAATGATTATAATTTGAAAAAAGAAAATAATTAATGATAATGATGGAAACAAGTCTAAAGCTAGTTGGGTTACTTTAAAATTTCTTGTAGAGCAATTTTTTTTTTTTTTTACATTTAAGATAGCTTATATTGCTAATAGGATTTTATTAGTATTTGCATACAGAATTATATATTAATAATCCCTACTGTTTATAATTACATGAAGAGTGTACAACAAGCCACATGTACAACTTTAGTCATTGTCTAATTTAAGTAGTCTGCCACACAGGTGATTAGACCACCCGATTAGTTCTACACTATGCTGCCATACCTGTAACCTGCCTATGAATTACCTATTTAAACACACTATTCATTAACCTATACAGATCCAAACCTAATAGTACTACAACACCTAACTGCTTAAGCCAGCTAGCTCGTTACGGATCTATTTACTCAAATCAGCTTAGGTTCTCTCGGAATACACTATACCAGACATATTGCTAGTATTGCAGAGCTAGTTAACCTCTAAGCAAACCCACTAGAGCGGCCCGTACCTATTTTACAGGATTACCTAGATTAGATCCTTGTAGATATTCATACACTTCAGTTCCTACTGTGGCTCTCTACTAGTTTTCTGTATTCTATTTTCTTAGATGTTTCATAAGGCAGATCCTCTCAATCCAGTTAGCTGCCAAGCCAGGTTGGTGTTACTGATCATCCCTGTAGAACAGATTTATGCGTACCTGACTCGATCTGCATCTTTTGATTATAGTTTCCTTTTTGGATCAAGCGTTAGCTGGTGTAACCATCGAAAGCCATACTACTTCATCTACTTGAGATTTCTACCATACAGATCCTGGCCTATAGAGCGTAATAACATTTATTTGTATAAAGTTATATCTCGCCAAACACTCCGTCACACTTCTAATATCCGAATAATATTAGTACAATGTGATTTATAGGGTTATAACTCCAGAAACAAACAGGGTTTACTGTAAGTTAAATACAAAGGTCCAGGTAATTATTCAAATTCGTCGATAGTAGGATTTGAACCCCAAACCTCTTGTATAGTGGTCTGGCAACTTAACCACTACACTAAGATCACCAGACCTTCTTGCAGAGCAATTTTATTAATATGACAATAATAAAATTATTTAACATTAAATATATATTAATTAAGATAATATTTACATAGCATATAAATATTAATATATATCAATATTGTCAATTGCAAATACAAATAAAATATATATATACTATATTATGAAATTCATAAATAAAAAGTTTTAATATCTGTGAACTATACTATCTTTTATAAAATATGTTAGTATATTATGAGCATTAAAATAAATAAATTGATTTTCATATTCTATAATTTCACAAATTGCAGATTTTTAACTTTCTTGCATACCACTATTCCTTATAGATTTTTGAAAAAAAATAAAATATGATCGTAATTCTTCTTCTTAACTCTATAACAAGAAAATGCTAAAAGTCTAATATTTCAGTGTATATCTATAAATTCATATATATGATATACAAGTGCATGAATATATGGAGTTATATCTAATAGTCAATAAAGTCCACAAACAAATCCTGAAGAGTTTATATTACCTTGAGATTTGGTTAAAAAAAGTTTTAACCATTGGTATGCTTTTTGTTGAAATTGATTGCCAAATATATTTAATTTATGTATATCATTATATAAATTATTAAAACTATTCCACAATTCTTTAATTTTAGTAGCTCTTTCAGGAGTAAATATAACATTTAAATCAAAATCTTTTAAAACTTTAAGTTTATTATTTTCTGATAGTATTGTAATTAGCCATGTTTTGGTACTCTGATCTTCCCAAAAATAAAATTGAACTTGAATACATCGTATTTCAGAAATAATTACTTGGCATATTTGATTATTAAAACAATATATGCTATAAAGTTCACTTAAAATAAGAGTCACAATCAATCAAAAATTTGTAACATTAGATAAAGTTTATCAATAATTCAATTACAAATTGGGATTATTGAAAATAATTAAAGATATTTGTATTTAGATATAGATTAGTAGTTTTTATTAATATCTTCCATAGTTTTGCTAATAACCCAATTGTCTTGTTGCTTATTATCTGTTTTTAAAATACTATTTTAAGATTTATTAATAGAGCACCAAAGACAAAAGTTTGCACTATTTGCAGACTTATGCTCTAAACAAATACTAAGAAACTTTCAATCTACTAAAATATATAATTTAATTTTCCATTTCTATTCATTTGATCAATAAATCCTGTTTTAATCTCACATAATTCTGCTATCAATGGAGCTAATATAATTTGTAATATATCATAACTTTCTATACCAGGGTAAATAAGTAGTGCAAAATATAAATTAGATTTAAATATATTCATTTTATTTAAAATTGTAAATATTATCATTACATGTTTGACTTTGTGCTCAATATTTCAACTATCACTAGAGATACGAATATATAATATTGATTCAGAATAATTAAGAATACTCTTATTAATCATAAATAGTATAATAAAATTTAAAATATCTTTAATTGAACACTTTGTTTCTTTTCTAACTAAGCTTTTAACTTTATCAATAATTTTAGAGTCTATAATATGTTTTTCAAAGCTAGGATTTTCTTTATTTTTAGCTTAATACAATTCAACTAGATAAATTGAAATATTCATGCTCATAATATTATTTATTTGATTTAATCTTTCAGAAAGAGCTTTTTTACATGGTAAATCTTAATATATAGATACTAAAGCTTGATATGAAGATCTTGAAATTCTATTATTATCCATAGCTTGTATTAAAGCAGTAATTTGATTTCTTTTATCGTCATTTTTTGGTTAGTATATAATTCAAAATTTTGAGTCATTTATTGTAAAAACTAGCTTATTAATTTTAACAACATCTTTTGTATTGAAATATTATTTTATTTGATCCTCAATACTAGGTAAAATGCATATACCAAAGTTTTTATTTCATATTTGTTGTATCCAGTTTGTTATTTTAGAAAATAGTTTAACAAGGTCTAGCGATCTTAGTGTAGTGGTTAGGTTGCTAAACCACTATGCAATAGGTCTGGAGTTCAAATCCCACTGTCGACAAATTTGAATAATTACCCAGACCTTTGTACCCAACTTACAGTAAACTCTGCTCATTTCTGGGGGTTACAACTCTGTAAATCACATTGCACTAATGTCAATTAGACATTAGAAGTGTAATGCAATATTCGAGTTATACTGCATGAATAAATCTTGATAGAATCTACAAGCAGGGGACCTGCATGGTAGAAATCCTGAGTTTGGTGAAGTAGTACAAATTTTGACAGTTATACCAGTTAATGCCTGATCTAGTAAAAAACCTGAGTATGAAGGATATGAGATCGATAGGTATGAGTAAGTCTACTATATAATGCAGCCTAATGCCTTGCATTAGCAGCAACACCAATTTGGCTTGGTGGCTAACTAGATTAGGAGGATCTACCTCGTGAAATATCTGACTGAAACTTGGAGAACTATATCTGGTGGACAGCTACAGCAGGAACTAGGTTCGTACGAATATCAACAAGGGTCTAATTCAGATGAATCTGTGAAATAGGCACATGATCACTCTAGTAGAAATTACTTCCAGGGATAACTAGAGCTCTGCAGCTCATAATACGTTAGGCATACGTATCTTAAGAGGATCTAAGCTGTGCAGAGAATAAATTCACAGGTAAACCAGCTGGCTTAAGTAGTTGGTTATAGTGGTGACGTTAGTTTGGGATGGGAGAAAGGGTTAATGATCAAAGTGTTTAAATAAGTAACTCACAGGCAGGTTGCAAATATAGCAGCATAGTATAGAACTAACAGATAGTCAATTGTCTGTATAGCAGATTACTTAAATTAGACAATGACTAAAGTTGTACATGTGACTTGTTGTACACTCATCATATAACTATAAACCTTAGGAAACTGTTCATGTGATAGTTTCGTAATAACAAACTAATAAATCTAATTGGCCAAGAAAGTGGCCTTAATAATGAAAAAAAAAAAAATAGTTTAGCATTTTTTGACTTTTTTTTGATTTTCACGTACTAACTTGATTTGCTATAATTGCAATCCAAATAAATAAATACTATTCATCTTACTGTTAGGCAATAATTGCTAAAACTAATTATTAAATAAAAATTAGCAAAAATTTATTAATATAAATAAAAATTTATATTTTAAATATATTTTATATTTGAATTCTTAATTTTCTTTTTATTTGTGATTTTCTAATAATAGGCTTTTAGATAATTATTTGCTGTAGCTATTGGTAAAAGATCTGAACATATATATTCATCATCATGTAATTCAAATTTTATTTTATATTGAGGTTTTTTATTATAATAATTAATAAATTAAGTAACTATTTTTTTGCTCTTGCCATTAGTTATTTCTACCATATAATTATCAGGAATTGGATAATGATTTGATCCTCTAGTATAAGTGAGATAAGACTCAAGTAGATAAATACCTTCCTTTATAATCTAATATTAAAAACTTCTTCGTAGTAACTTCTATTTAATCATGCGATCTATGAGATAATTTGAATTTTCTTTACTAATTTCTTTCATTTTAAATAATAATTGTAAAAAGTAGCATTAAAATTATTTTAACTAAAAAATACTTGTACAGTATATATTTATTTTTATTATATCATAGTTTAAATTACAAATATATATAAATATATAATATTAATTAAATTAGCACAAATAAATTACGTATATCTGAAGTCAATTAAATTGACTTATTATTAGTAGTCAAACTTCTTGGATTTTGAGGTATTTCACAAATATGCTACAATAGTAAAATTCTAAGTTATTAGTGTATAAATTTTTAATAAAAAGATAGAGATTAGTTAATTGGTTTTAGTAGAAAGTTGAATAAGTAGTTTGTTGTATAATTTGAACTTCAGATGAAGCAAGATTAATATATGGTATCAATTGGGGTTAGAAAAGAGATTAAGTAGTTGTAAATATATGAATTAGTGCTAAAATTTTTTTATAGTCTATTTGAATTATAGGTAGATTATTAAATTTTTTAATTTGATTATACAGAAGATTAAAAGAAGAGAGATTAGAGGATAGTAGGAAAGGAATTAGTATTAAGGAAGTTTGGTCAGAAGATAATTTTTTTATATAATAGAAGAGAGTTTTTTGTAAATTATAATATTGAGAGATTAAGATATTTTAATTATTTTAATAGTGAAGTTGAAATAGAAAAATATTGTTTGATAATAGTTGTGTCAGAATTAAGTTCATAGTATTAATAAAAGAGTTTGTTGTAGGTAGATTTAGTTGTGGCCAAGTATCTAATATTGTATTTAATTGTATAATATTAGAAATTTGTTTAAACTAGTTTAGAGTAGCTCCTTTAGTTGGTTTATTTGTACAAAGATAAATATTATTCTATGAAAGAAGATAGTTATTAATAGTAGTTGTAATTTGTTCAATAAAGAGAATTTTGTTGTTTTTGAGACTACTAATAGTTAGACTATGTAGTTTTGGAGGAAGTATTTCATATATTAGATATGAGTTTTCTGTAATTGTTGATTGAAAAATAGAAATTTGTGATAAGTGAGAGAGTGTTATATTATTAACGGCTAGTTGTGAGAGATGAAATATGATAGTATAATTTTGTGTTTTTCAATAGTTTGTAAGTAACAAGTTTTGAGTTAGTTTTGGAGACCAGATTTTTGTTAACCAAGACTTGATATATAAGATTCCAATATTTTTAAGAAGAGAGTTTGAAGTAAAAATTCATTTAGTATTAGAAGCACTAACTTTTTGAATAATATTATTTAGAGTTAGAAGATTAAATGAAAGAGAGTTAGTTAAAATAAGAATTATCTCTATTAATAGTCTCACATATTATAAAAAAAGAAAAAAATCATATGCTTATATTAGTACATGATTTGCAATCTACCAAAGTATTTATTATATAATAAACCTAGAGTATATTGCAGATAAAAATAATTAGACTTTGCTCAAAGCAACTGAAGCTATTAATTTATACTATTTTCATATATTAGATAACCTATTTTATAGAGGTACAAGTTTTTGGAAAAATTTAATTAATATTTTAGTATATTTATATTGAATAATCTTCTTCATTATATAAGTTCAAATACTGTAAGTAGTCATAATATTGAATATTTAGAATATATTAATAAATTACTAAGTGATCTTGTCTCTTTATCAAACTATATTAATTAATTTTTTCAAAAATACTATAGAAATCTGTATGAAAAATTATATATATTAAAATGAGGTCTGTTTGTATCTAGATAATTTGAGGTTTTTCTAATAATAGCTATTAACTATAATACTGTAAGTTAATATTATTAGAATGAAAATGATAAGCCAAATAGTCTTTGTTGTCTTGTTGCCTTTGGTAATTTTGAAGGTACTAAACTTTACTTTCCCTAGTTAAAAATAATTGTTCCATTTGCCCTAGGCAAATCATAGTATTTTCTTCATATCTGCTTCTCCAGAGTAATTTTTTTGTTATAAAAGAAATTTAACATAGTATCATATATTTTGTACATAGTTTATTCTTCTATCATCTGTAAAACTTCTCTCCTATTAATAGTGACTTTAAGGCTAGAGTTGAAAGAAATGCTTATGATTCCATTGTTTTAACTATTCCTTAGCAAGATTTAAATAAAGCTAATAAGTTAAATCAACTAATAAAACTTGACAAATCTAAAGAGATGCAAACTCAGATTCTATTAATACTATCTGATCGAAGAAGAGAGTATATCAGTAAGTAATACTATTATGTGAATATTGATATATAAGCAAAAAACAAGAACATTAATAATTAATTATTTCTTTAGATTTGTTATATACTTGGTAAAGATTGAAGGTGAAAGACTCACTCTGAATTTATAGTATTGTTGTAAAATACTATTAATTTTATTTTATTAATCTTCTGATTACTATTTCAAGATTTTAGATAATTATTATTATATTTCTTATCTAGTTAATTTGACAAGTTATACAGTTTTTTTAAGCAACTCTTTATCTAAGATTGAGATATTGCTCAAATAATCTCTTGTCATACTAAGTGTCACTTTTATATATTTGTATTTGTTTTCTTTTTGAGTTTTTATAATTTATGCAAACTTTAATTTTTAAGTTGTTATATACTAGGCAATCTCTTTAAATTCTACTCAATAAAAAATCTGTTGTGCAAATACAGGTTTAAATTTAGCTATTAAAATAAATTTATGAAAAACAAATTGTTTGCACTACTAGATTTTATTCTTAGTTGATTTCTGTCTATATGTAGTATACTTTTTTTTTTTATTTATCATTTTATTATATTTAAAATAATAATATTTTTTATTTTTTTATATATTTTAATTAAAAAATTATTTAATATAAATCAAAAAAATATATATATACATTTTATATCTTATTTAAAAATTAGTTAAATTAATTTAAAAAAAAATTTCTAAAATAAACCAAAATTGACTAATTTTACTGAACTATATTTCAAATTTTCTTATTTTAGAGATTTATATTGATTAACTAATCAAATTGCAAATTTTTATAAAGTATAAAAAAACAAAAAAAAGTCAAAAATACAAAAAACAAGTGTCTAAATCTGCTTTGGAGCACTAAAAAAAAGTGTCAGAAGAGTAATTTTATATATAATTCTTACTCAATCTCTAACCCTAATTCTAACTTTAACTATATTTTAGTTGCCTTGCTTAAGAAAAAAGAAATTTGAAATAGATTCAGTAAAATTAGTCACCAAAATTATTATTTTATAATACATAGTAACAATTAGAGTAGGGATGTTAAGTGGTTTATAGGAGGCCTAGTTCAGACCAGTCTAAACTAGAGACTTTATATAATATTAAAAAGTATCTTTTTTAATATATAGAATAAAAATAAATAAATATAAATCTATAACAGAACTTTTTAAATCACTATAATTTAAAAAAAAATTCTATTTTTACCTAGGTGAAAATAGAAATTCTCTAATTTAAAACTAGTTGGGCAATTAATAACTTTATACTATACTCTAATTAGTTAACTTTAAATCATGTATTTTATATATTTTATATTAAACTGAATATAGTTAGATATAAACTAGTAGTTCTACCAGGTTTTTTTAAAAACTACAATAGAACTAAATCAGACAGACTTTTTAATATCTCTAAACCAAAATGCCTAGCTATTTTAGTATATAAAATAGCCTATTTCTAGCAAATTGCTACAAATAGCTAGCTATATTGTTTTTATACTTTCTTTAATAAATAAGTTCCTAATACCCAAAATAATAAATTAGCTAAAACTCTTAATCTTTTAAACCTAAGATATATTAAATAATCCTCCTTCTGATATATTGAAACTCTGTCTAGCTATTGTATTTTAATGTACTAGGATTAGCTGTAGTTTATTTATTTTCAACTATCTGAAGTAGTGTAATAGTTGTAGTTGTTTTGTTGATCCAATTACCCTAAGTAGTATGGTAATTGAGAATAGAATTAGTTAAGAATAGATATAGAAGAAACCCAAGATATAACAAAGAAAGTACTTATCTACAGATATCTAAACTACTTACCAAATCTAATATGCTTCTAATAACTAAGCTGCCAATAAGTTTAGTAGATTAGTATTATTAAATATTGAGAAACAAAGATTGACAAATCACAGTTATTTTTAAAAGTATGTTCTGTGTTAGTAGGCAAGATATTGTAATCAGTACTAGTACAGGTATGGATATAGAAAAAGTTAGCTTTAGTATATAAAATTGTATATTTATAGAGAGAATTAATCAAAGTTATTTTGAAATTATTAGGAAAAAGTTTTTTGCAAGCCTTTGCAAGATTGAGTGTAATTTTGTATTTAATATGATTGTAGGTTTTTGTTTGGTCAATTTCAGGAAATTAACATTTGTAGATTTTAAAGAAGAGTTCAAACTATTTGTCAAGGTCTTCTTTATATTTTTTGAGTGAAGGGATTCTAAAGGTTTCTATGAATTGTTGTTTAGGAATATTAAAAGAAACATTGATATTAAATTTGCTGTTATATTGTATTTGAAAAAGAAGTTGATGAATTTTGTTCTTAGAGATGAAGTAATGTAATTGAAATCTTTTGGGTTTAATGCTAAGATCTTCAAAGAATTTGTTAGTATAGATAGTTTTGTAGTTATCATGAAGAAAAAGATGAATTCTAGCAAGGTTAATAGCAAATAAATTACAGTTTTGAATAGTATAAGAGGAGATTGAATTGTAAGATGATAAAATTTTTTAGTAGTTTAGTTTAGTGAAGAGAATTGTTGTAAATTTGAAAAGTAGAGATTTAAAGGTTAAGAGAATAATATCAAATAGAATTGTAGTTACTTTGTTAATATTTAGGAAGTATTAAAGATAAAGTCTGTGAGAAAGTTAGAATATTGTCTTGCTATTAATTTTATGAGGTATTTGAAATTACTTTTTGAGGCAGGAGTTTTTAAGATGCTAGTTTGAGGATTTTTCCTGAAGTGAAGTTGATGAGATTAGGTTTTAGAAAGTTAAAAAGCATTCTCTTCAATCTGAAACTATTTTTAAAGGTTTCTTAGTTCATTCAAAATGCATTAAAAATATTCAAATTAAGCCTCTTCCTTCAATTAAAACCTCTAACACTAACTCAGCAAAATATCTATTATTTTATCAAATTTAGTTTTTTGTCTTCTGACCAAAAACATGCTCTACTCAAATTTGCTCTCTCTAAATTTACCAAAAAACCTCTCTTCAAAAGAGATACTTCAAATGACCTTGACTGGTTTAAAATCTTCTCTATAACTAAAGAGATAGAACAACATACCCAACTTAATACACAGATTTTAATCAAGCTTTTTAACTTTCTAAAACCTAATCTCATCAACTTCACTTCAGGAAAAATCCTCAAACTAGCATCTTAAAAACTCCTGCCTCAAAAAGTAATTTCAAATACCTCATAAAATTAATAGCAAGACAATATTCTAACTTTCTCACAGACTTTATCTTTAATACTTCCTAAATATTAACAAAGTAACTACAATTCTATTTGATATTATTCTCTTAACCTTTAAATCTCTACTTTTCAAATTTACAACAATTCTCTTCACTAAACTAAACTACTAAAAAATTTTATCATCTTACAATTCAATCTCCTCTTATACTATTCAAAACTGTAATTTATTTGCTATTAACCTTGCTAGAATTCATCTTTTTCTTCATGATAACTACAAAACTATCTATACTAACAAATTCTTTGAAGATCTTAGCATTAAACCCAAAAGATTTCAATTACATTACTTCATCTCTAAGAACAAAATTCATCAACTTCTTTTTCAAATACAATATAACAGCAAATTTAATATCAATGTTTCTTTTAATATTCCTAAACAACAATTCATAGAAACCTTTAGAATCCCTTCACTCAAAAAATATAAAGAAGACCTTGACAAATAGTTTGAACTCTTCTTTAAAATCTACAAATGTTAATTTCCTGAAATTGACCAAACAAAAACCTACAATCATATTAAATACAAAATTACACTCAATCTTGCAAAGGCTTGCAAAAAACTTTTTCCTAATAATTTCAAAATAACTTTGATTAATTCTCTCTATAAATATACAATTTTATATACTAAAGCTAACTTTTTCTATATCCATACCTGTACTAGTACTGATTACAATATCTTGCCTACTAACACAGAACATACTTTTAAAAATAACTGTGATTTGTCAATCTTTGTTTCTCAATATTTAATAATACTAATCTACTAAACTTATTGGCAGCTTAGTTATTAGAAGCATATTAGATTTGGTAAGTAGTTTAGATATCTGTAGATAAGTACTTTCTTTGTTATATCTTGGGTTTCTTCTATATCTATTCTTAACTAATTCTATTCTCAATTACCATACTACTTAGGGTAATTGGATCAACAAAACAACTACAACTATTACACTACTTCAGATAGTTGAAAATAAATAAACTACAGCTAATCCTAGTACATTAAAATACAATAGCTAGACAGAGTTTCAATATATCAGAAGGAGGATTATTTAATATATCTTAGGTTTAAAAGATTAAGAGTTTTAGCTAATTTATTATTTTGGGTATTAGGAACTTATTTATTAAAGAAAGTATAAAAACAATATAGCTAGCTATTTGTAGCAATTTGCTAGAAATAGGCTATTTTATATACTAAAATAGCTAGGCATTTTGGTTTAGAGATATTAAAAAGTCTGTCTGATTTAGTTCTATTGTAGTTTTTAAAAAAACCTGGTAGAACTACTAGTTTATATCTAACTATATTCAGTTTAATATAAAATATATAAAATACATGATTTAAAGTTAACTAATTAGAGTATAGTATAAAGTTATTAATTGCCCAACTAGTTTTAAATTAGAGAATTTCTATTTTCACCTAGGTAAAAATAGAATTTTTTTTTAAATTATAGTGATTTAAAAAGTTCTGTTATAGATTTATATTTATTTATTTTTATTCTATATATTAAAAAAGATACTTTTTAATATTATATAAAGTCTCTAGTTTAGACTGGTCTGAACTAGGCCTCCTATAAACCACTTAACATCCCTACTCTAATTGTTACTATGTATTATAAAATAATAATTTTGGTGACTAATTTTACTGAATCTATTTCAAATTTCTTTTTTCTTAAGCAAGGCAACTAAAATATAGTTAAAGTTAGAATTAGGGTTAGAGATTGAGTAAGAATTATATATAAAATTACTCTTCTGACACTTTTTTTTAGTGCTCCAAAGCAGATTTAGACACTTGTTTTTTGTATTTTTGACTTTTTTTTGTTTTTTTATACTTTATAAAAATTTGCAATTTGATTAGTTAATCAATATAAATCTCTAAAATAAGAAAATTTGAAATATAGTTCAGTAAAATTAGTCAATTTTGGTTTATTTTAGAAATTTTTTTTTAAATTAATTTAACTAATTTTTAAATAAGATATAAAATGTATATATATATTTTTTTGATTTATATTAAATAATTTTTTAATTAAAATATATAAAAAAATAAAAAATATTATTATTTTAAATATAATAAAATGATAAATAAAAAAAAAAAGTATACTACATATAGACAGAAATCAACTAAGAATAAAATCTAGTAGTGCAAACAATTTGTTTTTCATAAATTTATTTTAATAGCTAAATTTAAACCTGTATTTGCACAACAGATTTTTTATTGAGTAGAATTTAAAGAGATTGCCTAGTATATAACAACTTAAAAATTAAAGTTTGCATAAATTATAAAAACTCAAAAAGAAAACAAATACAAATATATAAAAGTGACACTTAGTATGACAAGAGATTATTTGAGCAATATCTCAATCTTAGATAAAGAGTTGCTTAAAAAAACTGTATAACTTGTCAAATTAACTAGATAAGAAATATAATAATAATTATCTAAAATCTTGAAATAGTAATCAGAAGATTAATAAAATAAAATTAATAGTATTTTACAACAATACTATAAATTCAGAGTGAGTCTTTCACCTTCAATCTTTACCAAGTATATAACAAATCTAAAGAAATAATTAATTATTAATGTTCTTGTTTTTTGCTTATATATCAATATTCACATAATAGTATTACTTACTGATATACTCTCTTCTTCGATCAGATAGTATTAATAGAATCTGAGTTTGCATCTCTTTAGATTTGTCAAGTTTTATTAGTTGATTTAACTTATTAGCTTTATTTAAATCTTGCTAAGGAATAGTTAAAACAATGGAATCATAAGCATTTCTTTCAACTCTAGCCTTAAAGTCACTATTAATAGGAGAGAAGTTTTACAGATGATAGAAGAATAAACTATGTACAAAATATATGATACTATGTTAAATTTCTTTTATAACAAAAAAATTACTCTGGAGAAGCAGATATGAAGAAAATACTATGATTTGCCTAGGGCAAATGGAACAATTATTTTTAACTAGGGAAAGTAAAGTTTAGTACCTTCAAAATTACCAAAGGCAACAAGACAACAAAGACTATTTGGCTTATCATTTTCATTCTAATAATATTAACTTACAGTATTATAGTTAATAGCTATTATTAGAAAAACCTCAAATTATCTAGATACAAACAGACCTCATTTTAATATATATAATTTTTCATACAGATTTCTATAGTATTTTTGAAAAAATTAATTAATATAGTTTGATAAAGAGACAAGATCACTTAGTAATTTATTAATATATTCTAAATATTCAATATTATGACTACTTACAGTATTTGAACTTATATAATGAAGAAGATTATTCAATATAAATATACTAAAATATTAATTAAATTTTTCCAAAAACTTGTACCTCTATAAAATAGGTTATCTAATATATGAAAATAGTATAAATTAATAGCTTCAGTTGCTTTGAGCAAAGTCTAATTATTTTTATCTGCAATATACTCTAGGTTTATTATATAATAAATACTTTGGTAGATTGCAAATCATGTACTAATATAAGCATATGATTTTTTTCTTTTTTTATAATATGTGAGACTATTAATAGAGATAATTCTTATTTTAACTAACTCTCTTTCATTTAATCTTCTAACTCTAAATAATATTATTCAAAAAGTTAGTGCTTCTAATACTAAATGAATTTTTACTTCAAACTCTCTTCTTAAAAATATTGGAATCTTATATATCAAGTCTTGGTTAACAAAAATCTGGTCTCCAAAACTAACTCAAAACTTGTTACTTACAAACTATTGAAAAACACAAAATTATACTATCATATTTCATCTCTCACAACTAGCCGTTAATAATATAACACTCTCTCACTTATCACAAATTTCTATTTTTCAATCAACAATTACAGAAAACTCATATCTAATATATGAAATACTTCCTCCAAAACTACATAGTCTAACTATTAGTAGTCTCAAAAACAACAAAATTCTCTTTATTGAACAAATTACAACTACTATTAATAACTATCTTCTTTCATAGAATAATATTTATCTTTGTACAAATAAACCAACTAAAGGAGCTACTCTAAACTAGTTTAAACAAATTTCTAATATTATACAATTAAATACAATATTAGATACTTGGCCACAACTAAATCTACCTACAACAAACTCTTTTATTAATACTATGAACTTAATTCTGACACAACTATTATCAAACAATATTTTTCTATTTCAACTTCACTATTAAAATAATTAAAATATCTTAATCTCTCAATATTATAATTTACAAAAAACTCTCTTCTATTATATAAAAAAATTATCTTCTGACCAAACTTCCTTAATACTAATTCCTTTCCTACTATCCTCTAATCTCTCTTCTTTTAATCTTCTGTATAATCAAATTAAAAAATTTAATAATCTACCTATAATTCAAATAGACTATAAAAAAATTTTAGCACTAATTCATATATTTACAACTACTTAATCTCTTTTCTAACCCCAATTGATACCATATATTAATCTTGCTTCATCTGAAGTTCAAATTATACAACAAACTACTTATTCAACTTTCTACTAAAACCAATTAACTAATCTCTATCTTTTTATTAAAAATTTATACACTAATAACTTAGAATTTTACTATTGTAGCATATTTGTGAAATACCTCAAAATCCAAGAAGTTTGACTACTAATAATAAGTCAATTTAATTGACTTCAGATATACGTAATTTATTTGTGCTAATTTAATTAATATTATATATTTATATATATTTGTAATTTAAACTATGATATAATAAAAATAAATATATACTGTACAAGTATTTTTTAGTTAAAATAATTTTAATGCTACTTTTTACAATTATTATTTAAAATGAAAGAAATTAGTAAAGAAAATTCAAATTATCTCATAGATCGCATGATTAAATAGAAGTTACTACGAAGAAGTTTTTAATATTAGATTATAAAGGAAGGTATTTATCTACTTGAGTCTTATCTCACTTATACTAGAGGATCAAATCATTATCCAATTCCTGATAATTATATGGTAGAAATAACTAATGGCAAGAGCAAAAAAATAGTTACTTAATTTATTAATTATTATAATAAAAAACCTCAATATAAAATAAAATTTGAATTACATGATGATGAATATATATGTTCAGATCTTTTACCAATAGCTACAGCAAATAATTATCTAAAAGCCTATTATTAGAAAATCACAAATAAAAAGAAAATTAAGAATTCAAATATAAAATATATTTAAAATATAAATTTTTATTTATATTAATAAATTTTTGCTAATTTTTATTTAATAATTAGTTTTAGCAATTATTGCCTAACAGTAAGATGAATAGTATTTATTTATTTGGATTGCAATTATAGCAAATCAAGTTAGTACGTGAAAATCAAAAAAAAGTCAAAAAATGCTAAACTATTTTTTTTTTTTTCATTATTAAGGCCACTTTCTTGGCCAATTAGATTTATTAGTTTGTTATTACGAAACTATCACATGAACAGTTTCCTAAGGTTTATAGTTATATGATGAGTGTACAACAAGTCACATGTACAACTTTAGTCATTGTCTAATTTAAGTAATCTGCTATACAGACAATTGACTATCTGTTAGTTCTATACTATGCTGCTATATTTGCAACCTGCCTGTGAGTTACTTATTTAAACACTTTGATCATTAACCCTTTCTCCCATCCCAAACTAACGTCACCACTATAACCAACTACTTAAGCCAGCTGGTTTACCTGTGAATTTATTCTCTGCACAGCTTAGATCCTCTTAAGATACGTATGCCTAACGTATTATGAGCTGCAGAGCTCTAGTTATCCCTGGAAGTAATTTCTACTAGAGTGATCATGTGCCTATTTCACAGATTCATCTGAATTAGACCCTTGTTGATATTCGTACGAACCTAGTTCCTGCTGTAGCTGTCCACCAGATATAGTTCTCCAAGTTTCAGTCAGATATTTCACGAGGTAGATCCTCCTAATCTAGTTAGCCACCAAGCCAAATTGGTGTTGCTGCTAATGCAAGGCATTAGGCTGCATTATATAGTAGACTTACTCATACCTATCGATCTCATATCCTTCATACTCAGGTTTTTTACTAGATCAGGCATTAACTGGTATAACTGTCAAAATTTGTACTACTTCACCAAACTCAGGATTTCTACCATGCAGGTCCCCTGCTTGTAGATTCTATCAAGATTTATTCATGCAGTATAACTCGAATATTGCATTACACTTCTAATGTCTAATTGACATTAGTGCAATGTGATTTACAGAGTTGTAACCCCCAGAAATGAGCAGAGTTTACTGTAAGTTGGGTACAAAGGTCTGGGTAATTATTCAAATTTGTCGACAGTGGGATTTGAACTCCAGACCTATTGCATAGTGGTTTAGCAACCTAACCACTACACTAAGATCGCTAGACCTTGTTAAACTATTTTCTAAAATAACAAACTGGATACAACAAATATGAAATAAAAACTTTGGTATATGCATTTTACCTAGTATTGAGGATCAAATAAAATAATATTTCAATACAAAAGATGTTGTTAAAATTAATAAGCTAGTTTTTACAATAAATGACTCAAAATTTTGAATTATATACTAACCAAAAAATGACGATAAAAGAAATCAAATTACTGCTTTAATACAAGCTATGGATAATAATAGAATTTCAAGATCTTCATATCAAGCTTTAGTATCTATATATTAAGATTTACCATGTAAAAAAGCTCTTTCTGAAAGATTAAATCAAATAAATAATATTATGAGCATGAATATTTCAATTTATCTAGTTGAATTGTATTAAGCTAAAAATAAAGAAAATCCTAGCTTTGAAAAACATATTATAGACTCTAAAATTATTGATAAAGTTAAAAGCTTAGTTAGAAAAGAAACAAAGTGTTCAATTAAAGATATTTTAAATTTTATTATACTATTTATGATTAATAAGAGTATTCTTAATTATTCTGAATCAATATTATATATTCGTATCTCTAGTGATAGTTGAAATATTGAGCACAAAGTCAAACATGTAATGATAATATTTACAATTTTAAATAAAATGAATATATTTAAATCTAATTTATATTTTGCACTACTTATTTACCCTGGTATAGAAAGTTATGATATATTACAAATTATATTAGCTCCATTGATAGCAGAATTATGTGAGATTAAAACAGGATTTATTGATCAAATGAATAGAAATGGAAAATTAAATTATATATTTTAGTAGATTGAAAGTTTCTTAGTATTTGTTTAGAGCATAAGTCTGCAAATAGTGCAAACTTTTGTCTTTGGTGCTCTATTAATAAATCTTAAAATAGTATTTTAAAAACAGATAATAAGCAACAAGACAATTGGGTTATTAGCAAAACTATGGAAGATATTAATAAAAACTACTAATCTATATCTAAATACAAATATCTTTAATTATTTTCAATAATCCCAATTTGTAATTGAATTATTGATAAACTTTATCTAATGTTACAAATTTTTGATTGATTGTGACTCTTATTTTAAGTGAACTTTATAGCATATATTGTTTTAATAATCAAATATGCCAAGTAATTATTTCTGAAATACGATGTATTCAAGTTCAATTTTATTTTTGGGAAGATCAGAGTACCAAAACATGGCTAATTACAATACTATCAGAAAATAATAAACTTAAAGTTTTAAAAGATTTTGATTTAAATGTTATATTTACTCCTGAAAGAGCTACTAAAATTAAAGAATTGTGGAATAGTTTTAATAATTTATATAATGATATACATAAATTAAATATATTTGGCAATCAATTTCAACAAAAAGCATACCAATGGTTAAAACTTTTTTTAACCAAATCTCAAGGTAATATAAACTCTTCAGGATTTGTTTGTGGACTTTATTGACTATTAGATATAACTCCATATATTCATGCACTTGTATATCATATATATGAATTTATAGATATACACTGAAATATTAGACTTTTAGCATTTTCTTGTTATAGAGTTAAGAAGAAGAATTACGATCATATTTTATTTTTTTTCAAAAATCTATAAGGAATAGTGGTATGCAAGAAAGTTAAAAATCTGCAATTTGTGAAATTATAGAATATGAAAATCAATTTATTTATTTTAATGCTCATAATATACTAACATATTTTATAAAAGATAGTATAGTTCACAGATATTAAAACTTTTTATTTATGAATTTCATAATATAGTATATATATATTTTATTTGTATTTGCAATTGACAATATTGATATATATTAATATTTATATGCTATGTAAATATTATCTTAATTAATATATATTTAATGTTAAATAATTTTATTATTGTCATATTAATAAAATTGCTCTGCAAGAAGGTCTGGTGATCTTAGTGTAGTGGTTAAGTTGCCAGACCACTATACAAGAGGTTTGGGGTTCAAATCCTACTATCGACGAATTTGAATAATTACCTGGACCTTTGTATTTAACTTACAGTAAACCCTGTTTGTTTCTGGAGTTATAACCCTATAAATCACATTGTACTAATATTATTCGGATATTAGAAGTGTGACGGAGTGTTTGGCGAGATATAACTTTATACAAATAAATGTTATTACGCTCTATAGGCCAGGATCTGTATGGTAGAAATCTCAAGTAGATGAAGTAGTATGGCTTTCGATGGTTACACCAGCTAACGCTTGATCCAAAAAGGAAACTATAATCAAAAGATGCAGATCGAGTCAGGTACGCATAAATCTGTTCTACAGGGATGATCAGTAACACCAACCTGGCTTGGCAGCTAACTGGATTGAGAGGATCTGCCTTATGAAACATCTAAGAAAATAGAATACAGAAAACTAGTAGAGAGCCACAGTAGGAACTGAAGTGTATGAATATCTACAAGGATCTAATCTAGGTAATCCTGTAAAATAGGTACGGGCCGCTCTAGTGGGTTTGCTTAGAGGTTAACTAGCTCTGCAATACTAGCAATATGTCTGGTATAGTGTATTCCGAGAGAACCTAAGCTGATTTGAGTAAATAGATCCGTAACGAGCTAGCTGGCTTAAGCAGTTAGGTGTTGTAGTACTATTAGGTTTGGATCTGTATAGGTTAATGAATAGTGTGTTTAAATAGGTAATTCATAGGCAGGTTACAGGTATGGCAGCATAGTGTAGAACTAATCGGGTGGTCTAATCACCTGTGTGGCAGACTACTTAAATTAGACAATGACTAAAGTTGTACATGTGGCTTGTTGTACACTCTTCATGTAATTATAAACAGTAGGGATTATTAATATATAATTCTGTATGCAAATACTAATAAAATCCTATTAGCAATATAAGCTATCTTAAATGTAAAAAAAAAAAAAAATTGCTCTACAAGAAATTTTAAAGTAACCCAACTAGCTTTAGACTTGTTTCCATCATTATCATTAATTATTTTCTTTTTTCAAATTATAATCATTTTAGGTTTTTTGAAATTTAATTGACAAGAATTATATAATTTATTGTTTGATTCCAATAAACTAGTTGATTCAAATACTAGCATAACTTCAGATCTTTGTCCATATACATAAGTTCACCTTCCCCAGATTTCTTGATTAAAAATATTTGCAAGAGTATTATATGCATCATAGCTACCAAATCTACATATATATTTTTGTTAACAGATTAAATAGCAATTAATATTATTTTGAAAAATTGAAACAAATGCTGATTCAGTAAGTAGTACTGAAATTGTTTGTAGCTTAGCATATTTTGTATGAAGTTTAAGATGTGATTGAATAAAATAGACTAATGTATTTTTAACTTCATTAATATGTATATCTGAAAGAGTAAAAAGATTTTCAGATAGTATATTATAATTAGAGTGTTTTAATGTTTCATTATAGCACCATCTACTCCTTTTCTTAAACATCATATTTGGGCAAAGTGAGCATAAAAAAAATTTATTTGAAGAAATATTCATAATCTTTTTGCTACGATGCATACTTTGATAATGTATCTTGAGACTGTAATGACTTTTAAATTTTTTATTATCATATAAGGAACATAAAATACTATTATTAGTATTACTATAAATTATTTTTTTTAGTAATTTTCAACTATCATATTGCAGAACTTAAAATAGGTTGTAATAGTAGAAAAATAGGTTAGACGCATTATTATTATAAATTTGAGAAGTCAAAAAATTTGTCCAGAGTTTAATTTTAATCAATCACTAATAAATTTGATAATAAAATTTTAAATTTGGTGACCAAAAATTAGCTAAATTTTGCAAATATGTTATAATATAAAAATTTATAAACACCAGATATTAAAGCTAGCATAGATTGAATTTGCAAAAACAGTAATTCAATCAAATTTAATGCAGCTATTCTTCTTTTTTCTGATACTGCTCACATTGAACTAGCTTTAATTATTACTCTACTTCTTACTATACCAAATAATTCTATGATTACTCTATACTTAGATAATATTACAGCAATCAAAAACCTAATATCCTTCTTCTCTCACAAACTTATTCAAAACAAAAACTAGGATATTTTACAAATTATTAGTTCTCTCAAAGAAAACAAAAATATTTCACTCAAACTTATCAAAGTCAAATTTCATTCTAATATTTCTCTTTATAATCAAGCTGATTTATTAGCAATATAAGATACTACTAAACCAATAATCGAATTTTCACTCCTTCTCTTTAACTATCCTATATATTTTAACTAGAATAACTTCTTTATACCAATGAAAATTTGAACCTTTATCAAAAATACTATTACAATACAAGAACTTTCTACTTGGGCTACACTCAAATTCTTTGATAGTATTATTGATATCAAATAGGCTCTAATATTTAAAATCTTAAATTCTTTAAAAAACAATTTTCAAAAATATTCCTTTCATATTAAAATCTTAACAAATAACTTATCTACTATACAAAATCTTAATATTTACTATCCCTATCTATATACTACACTAAACTGTATACAATGTTTAAATACTGAAATACTATACACATTCTTCTTTGTAAGAAAAATAATCCTAATATTAATCAATCACTCATTAATATTATTAATAATTCACTAACTTCACTCAAAATTATAACAATTACTGCTTCTAATCTTTTAAATATTCTCTTACACTTTAGAAATTCATGTAATATTAAAAATTAGTTTAATGCAAACTAAGCATACTAGATAAACATCACGCAGACGTTGTAATACTATTTATTAAAATGCTTAATTAAATACTTATCAATATTACATTTTGCATTTTAATAAGGTCGCAATTGGTATTTTTACTCTAAAGTGGTTTGTGCTTATTTCACAAACATACTTAGGGTTTTAACACTTGTAATATTTATACAATCTTAGGTTCTAGCTGTAGTCTTTCACAAATCAGTCAACTTAGTTAAATCTAGCTAATCAACTAGTTACTTTTGTATAATGATCTTAAAATTTTCTAAGATAGAGTTTTCTTTCTAGATTAGATATTAACTAGCAGATCTGTAGAAAGATCATATTATTTTACCATTTAGAATTTCTACTATACAGTTTCTTTACTTATAGATTCTATTAAGATTTATTTATATAACATTGTATTACACTTTTAATATCATATTGATATTAGTATAATTTGATTTATATAGTTATAGTCTAGAAATAAACAGAGTTATTATAAGCTAAATACAGGTTTAGATAATTATTCAAATTTGTTAATAGTAGTATTTGAACTTTAGATCTATTATATAGTACTAAAATTATAAAACCTTTTATTAATTAATATTAATATTGTAATAAACTAATTTTTTAAAAGTTTTTTTTTTTTTTTTTTACTAACACTAATAAATAACTGCTAATGAATTTTTTTTAAATAATTACTTTTTTTATTAAGACTTTAAATTTATTTTTTTAATACAACTTTATACTAAATATATTATATAATTAATTACTCAAACTAATAATAATCTCAATATTAAAACTAATATTAAACTAATATTAGTCTTAATATTAATCTTATATTAAAACTAAAATTAAAATATTGATTCTAATATTTATTTTAATATTAAAACTAATATTAATTCTAATATTAAAACTAAATATTAATTCTAATATTCATTTTAATATTAAAACTAATATTGATTCTAATATTGAATTGAATATTAATCTTAATATTAAAACTAATATTAATCTTAATATTTTTTTTTATTTTTTATTTTTTATTAAATAATGTCATAGTTGAAACTTTATTTTTAAGAAAATTAGAACTTAAGTTCTATTTTAAAAATTTCAAAACTATATTTGTGTTACATAAGTTTAACTTTAGTTAAACAAGGTATCCAATATGACATTACATCCTCTATTTCCTATATAAATACTATATTTAACTATTTCAAATTAAATTTTAGTTTAGGACAGGTTGGAGGAGACCTAAGG